TCGGTCTCCTCGTCCGCGCAGTGGGGGGAAGAACAGGTCCCAGTGGACAGGACGATTGTGAGGGCCGGGCAGGGCAGAGCGGTGCCTGGCACGCCCACCTCGAGTCCCGTCGGGAAGGACACGGGTCGTGTTGGTCCCGCACCGCGAGCTGCCCTCCGGAGGGCGACCCTTCGGTTGTATTACGAGCGACTCTTGAAATGAAGGGTGCTTTACTCTTGAAAGTAAACAAAAGTTTGGCAAGAAACAAAACTTAGTTTCCCAATGGGGAGCCTGTGGGCGAAAGGCCACCCTGGTCTCAGGACAAGATCTAACGAGCACCCACTGCAGCTGCAGTCAGAAGCCACGTGACGCCGTTCAGGGACCAACGTCACCACCTTCTGCGGCTGCTGCCGTCCTGAGTCCTCACCACAGGGCATTTTCCACGGACGTTTAGAGAGAGCGGAAGGGAAGGAGGGAGGGAGCGGGAGAGAGAGAGAGAAACAGCCATGTAACAGGCACTTCGATCGGTTGCCTCCTGCGTGACCCCGACCCGAGCCAGGGATCAAACCTGCAACCCAGGTACGTGCCGTTGCCCGGGAATCGAACCCGAGACCTTCTGGTGTGCAGGCCGATGCTCTAACCACTGAGCAACACCAGCCAGGGCTCCGTCTCCATCTTGCCTGCCCTTCAGAGACCCTGGCGGTGTCCCAGGGCATCGACGAGCCCCGCTCCCCCCGCTCCTGCCTCGTGGGTCCGAGCCTGTGGGTGTGCCTGGCCGCCAGGTCCCTGGCTGCTGAAGGGCCCACGGGGCTCTGACGCCCAGCCAGGCCGATGGGCCACCAACGTGGTGAGTCCCCAACAAATGCCAAGACGACACTCCGACCTCCATGTCTCCCATTGGCTCCGGGCAAAGCTGTCGCCATCACCCCTACGTCCTCCCTACGACTCACTCTAGTGACCTGCTTGCCCGGCTCCTGGCGGCGAGGAGACTGAACACGAGAATCTCAGGGCAAGAGCAGGAGTCTCGCTGGTTAGCTCCTGACACTAAGCCGGTCGGACCTGCGTTTCCTGTCGTGACCGGGGGATGCGGGCCCTCGTCACTCCTGGCCAGTGGAGGCCCCGGCCTTCTGCTTGACCGGGATGGACAGGAACATCTGCCCTGCCTGGGCCGCCTGCCCCTCTCCCTGGGCCGTCCCTGTCCCCTGGGCACCGCTCCCCCCTGCGTGTCCCCACCGAGGCACTTGGCTCCACTCCCGAATCTCTCGGGGACACCCCGGGTCCGCCGTCCAGGGGATGACACACTGAGCTGATCGGACGCAGCGAACACTCAATCTAGGAGGCGGCCGCGCTTGAAGGACCCTCCACGGGCGCCCAGCTGTCCACCTCGGGGACGACCACGTGCCTTCCTCGCAGTTCCCGGTCTGAGGCTTCTGCTTCCGGGCGGCGGGTGAGGGGACGATGGCCAGGAAACGATGGCAACACCGAGACAACAAACCGCTCCCGGGGCCCCGGGCAGGACAGGCGCACACCCAGACGTCAGCAGCTGAGCGAGGTGCACACAGCGGGACCCTCCGTGGCGGGGCCGAGCGGGCACGGGACAGGGCCAGGCCTCCGATGACGTCCAAGGAGGAGCAAGGACGTTCCGTAGACGCTGAAGACTCGGGAGTCGTCCCAAGTGGCCCCTTGGTCCCCAAGGTCAAACCCCAGCGCCCGCTTTTAAAGAGAAAGTGCCTGTGGGGCTCACACACGGTTCCTTTCGAGAGCAGACCGAGGGGCCGCACTGGGGACCCCGCGCAGCAGCCGAGCTCAGAAGCCCCTCGACACCAGGGACGGCTTTGTGCCAAAACAAAGACTCACCGAGACCCGTGAATCCACTGAAAACAAGCCCTACACGCTTGAAGCTTTTCAATAAAACAAACAGTCGTCTGTTGGAAAAAACGCAGCTACTGTCTGTAAGTAGCACTGCAGCGGGGGACGCGGGCCCCAGGAAGACAGCTCCGTGAAGTTTGTCTTTTTAATCCTCGTGCCCCCAAAGGAGAGTGTCTGAGCCCCACCAGGGAGGAGCTGGGCTCCGGGGGTCCCGCCCCCGCCCCGCTGTGCTGTGGGGGGCCAACCCTCCTTCGAGTCTTTGTGAGGTCACAAAACCAACAGGGCCTTGATGCCTTGGGTCAGGCATTCCCGGGACCCTGGGACTCAGAGGTCACCCGGGACGAGAAGCCAGGTCCGACCGCCAGCACCGTGGAGCCCAGGGAAAGACGACAGCGTACGAGGGGCTTTGGCAGAAGTGTGGGGACGTGACTTTTATCCTTGCCCGAGGAGATGTTTTCACTGATTTGAGAGAGGGAGAGGGAGAGGGAGAGGGAGAGAAACATCAATGTGAGACGCAATCATCAACTGGTTGCTTCATGTATGTGCCCTGACGGGGGATCAAACCTGACACCTGGGCATGTGCCCCGACTGGGAATTGAACCCGCGGCCCTGCGGTGCAGGGGACGACGCTCCAACCACCCGAGCCACGCTGGCCAGGGCTGTACCAAGGCTGTAGAAGCTTTTGTTTTTTAAACCCTCCCCTGAGGATATTTTTCCATTGATTTCTTTTAGCCAGAGTGGGAGGGAGGGAGGAGGAGAGGGAGAAACATCGATGTGAGAGACACACTTCAGGATGAACCCACAGCCGAGAGACGTGCCCTTAGCGGGAACCGAACCCGGGTCTCTCCCGACCGCAGGCGGACGCTCTAACCTCTGAGCCACACCGGCCAGGACTGTAGTAACTCTTTTTTTTTAATCCTCACCCGAGGACATTTTTCCATTTTTCACTCAGATAGAGCAGGAAGGAGTGAGAGGAAGAGAGAGAAACATCGATGTGAAAGGGACACATCGAGTGGCCGCCACCCGCACAACCAACCAGGGCCAGGGACAAACTGCAACCGAGGTACATGCCCTTAGCGGGAACCGAACCCGGGTCTCTCCCGACCGCAGGCGGACGCTCTAACCGCTGAGCCACACCGGCCAGGGCTGTAGTAACTCCTAATGCCCAGTTTCCACAGGGGCTCCGATCTGACCGACCGGGTGGCATGGCCGCGTCTGCCAATCCCGGGCAGCTCTGCTTCCCCAGGCCAGCGCCGGGGGCAGGCTCTCCCTGAGGTGGCCCCACACTTCCCTTATTGACTAGTTTATTAAGGAAACCATCCGTGGAGCCTAACAACAGGGGACGTGCTTGCATCTGCGGTCCTCATTAATTATTTAAAACCAGCAACAGCTCTGTGAACCTGCTGGGGCCCCCGCCCCCCCTCACACACAGGCGCGCATGCACACACACACACACACAGGCACGCGTGCACACACACGAAGGAGACTTACATCACAACTGCATCCCACAGAAAATGATTCAACCCAGCATGTCTGCATTTTCACGAGGTCATCGATTGTTACCCCGTGAAACGGCAGGGCTGCCTGTAGCCTGCATCACCCGGGACACACACCCGCCGTTTCCACGGACAAGAGCCCGGAGGACCGCGTTCTTCACCCCAGCCCGGCTCTGATTGGTCAATCATCATTTAACTACAGCTTTCAGCAAATAAAAGGCGACCCACGCAAGGTGCCTGGGATAAGTTAAAGCTCCTTCCCCGCGGCACCTGGCTCCCTGTCCAGTGGCGTCTGTCCTCTGGGTTTCTGCCGCTCTGTCGTGAGAAACTCTGGGAGCTGAGCAACATCACAGCGCGAAAGGCCCGTGGCAGCTCAGGTACAACACGGAGCGATGGCTTCAAGCGACCACCTCGCCGCCGCCTGAGCCGCCGCCGGAGCCGGGCACGCGAGTGTCTGGCCGGCCCAGTGGCGGGACCACGTGGGGCTCCTGGATACCACGCACCCACCCCGTCCCCCTGCACGCGGGTTTCCAATCCAGATGCGACAGGGCTCAGGGTCAGCATGGAGAAATATTCTTCCAGGAACGTGAACTCCAGCAGGGGTCACGGGCACGTATCCAACCGCCTAAAATAATTCTTCCGAGGACAACACATTCTTGTGTTCCTAATAGTTCCGAGGAGTAACACATCCGTTTGCACAACCAGATTGAAAGTAACACCTCAACCCGCACAGGGCCGGGAGCTGAGATGTGCTGCCGGCCTGGGCCCCCAACACCCCCACGTGGCCACCGGGCTAAGCTTCCGGAGCTCGGGGCCTGCGCCCCGTGGGTTCTTTCCGTGAAGAGCCCCTCCTCCACCCACGAGCACGGGCCGGTTCCAAAGCACCTGAGCTGCGGTTCCCGGTCTGTGCATCCCCTTCCGACGCCCCTCCTGCCCACGCCCCTTCTTCTCTGAAGGCTACCCCCTGTCCACAGGCCAGCTACTGCAGCTCACAAACCACCCACTTTCATTTCATGTTTTAATACGTTTTTATTGATTTGTTGGAGAGAGAGAAACATCGATGTGAGAGAGAAACATCCATCGGCTGCCTCCTGCACGCCCCCTACTGGGGATCGAGCCCACAACCCGGGCATGTGCCCTGACCGGGAATCAAACCAGGACCTCTCAGTCCAGGGGATGACGCTCAGTCCACTGAGCCACACTGGCCGGGCCAACCCACCAACGCTTGGCCACCACCGTCACAGGCCTCATGCAAGCCAGGGCCGCCACCCTGCTCCTTCCACCTGCTCTTATGGCACAAGAATGGGCGACGGCCCCTCTATTCATACGGTCGCCGTGAAACCACTGTAGGTGTGCGTGTGCCAGACATCATGGTGGGCACACTTGTCTCCCGGCTACTTCAAGACCACTGGACGGGTTCCATACACCCGTCGACCTCCAGAGAGGTGTAGCCACAGCCTCAAAGACAAGCCAAACACGCGAGTCTATGAGAAATGGAATCCACAGTGGGTGGAAATAACCACGCACGCGTCCACGCCAGCGTCCACGAGTAGCCCCGCTCGGGTCCCGTGGCCATGCTGTCAAGACCACAGACCCCACCGGTCAGAGAGTCGGCGTTCTCCCCAAGCAGAAAGATACGAACACCTGTGTCCCTACCTCGATCAAGAAGTCCCCGGTCCTCAGTCCGGCTTGCCAGGCCACCCCGCCTTCATCCACCGACTCCAGGTACTGCAGGGCCGGGAAGGCCGGCGTTGGGGTGAACTCCTCGATGGGCGTATCCGCTGGGAAGGAAGGACAGACAGGTCATTCCCAGCCTGGCAGACGTCTCCACGTCGGTGCCCGGCCCCCGCAGGACCCTGAGAAAGACCCGTGGTCTCCTGCTGGAACTGGGTGGTCCAGGCCAACCCCTCCCTGGGAAGGGTTCGCCCCTCACAGTCACGGGTCAGACCAGCTCAAGCACGGAAGCCAGTGCGCCCTGGAACCGCGTCACACGGCCTGGCCTCCGCTGAGAACGCGGGCTGGTGCACTCCGCTGTGTGTGTCTATATGTACACGCCTGTCATTCTCTCTAAAAACACCGGTGACTAAACATTTTCAGTTCTAAAAATGGAAAAGTTCCCCCATAACCACACGGAGCTATAGAAGCCACAGTGATCCACTTGCCAAGTCTACGTCTGCGTAGCCCGCGGCCAGGGACTCCGGCTCAGAGCTCGGGGGGAACACAGCTCTGACCTGGGGGGAGGCTGCACTGTGAACTCTGCCCGGCTGGTCTCGGGGACCACTCTGCGGCCAGCGGCCACCCGAGGGCCGGGCCCCCAGCCAGCCCGGGCTTCTGGGCCCTGCACAGCTGCCCGGGGCAATTCTAGGGCAAGAGATGGACTTTCCTGGGGTGTCCTGAGCGGCCGGGGTGGGGGTGGGAAGAAGATGGCCCTGGAGGGGAGGGGACAGATGACCACACAGAGGGTCGTGGACACACATGGGGACAGTTGTCTTTTCCTTCTCTCTCTGGGCAGATGCCGTCAGGGCAGGCAGAGCCCAGGCAGGCAGGTTGCCACCCGGGGTGAGGCCTCCCCTCGTCCAGGTGTGGGCCCCCAGCTCAGCAGAGGCTTGGAGGAGCCTGCACGTGGCTAACCCACACACGCGGCGGACAGATGTCTCCTCTCGCGGGGAGGCGGTGCCATTTTGTTTTCTTTCCGAAGGGAAGCCCCCACGTCAGGGGCCGGCGGTGGGTGCCCCGCCGTGGCATGCAGCCCCGGAGCCCCCCACCCCAGGCCACGTGACGTGGGTGCTGCCGGCTCGGGCCGCGGCAGAGGGGACCACCTTGCCACATTTCCTCAGCAAAGTCACCTTAGGGGCCGACGCACGGCCACCCGCTCCCGCACGGGGCGGTTTCCGGATCCCGGAACTCAGCGCCCCGTCCTTCTGGGGGCCCGACCCCGGGGGCTCCGAACCCAGCCACCACACACACATCGGACTGTGGTTTTACAAAAGGGTGGGGGGAGGGAGAGCGAGCTCGGGCGGACTGACACTGTTCGGAAAATTAAAAATATTCCTGAAGGAAGCTCCAGTGTTTTCTGAGTAAGGCAGCGTGGAAGAGAACACGGTTGTCTAGCAACCAAGGGCCCCCGGGAGAAGGGCTTCTTTCTGAGCTGGGAATGTCTTTCATGCAGGCGTGTGCACACACACGCACACGCACACACACACACACGGGAAGGCGGCCGGGAGGGAGCGGCTCTTACCTTTGGCCCCTCGCAGGACAAACCCAAATCCCTCATTGTCCTTCTTGTGCAGCACCACGGTCTTCTCCTCGATGATGCAGTCACTGTAGAGAGAATTCCGAGGACAGCGACCATTATTGTGACCCGTCATCACCGTGGCTGCTCCTCCGCCGGGGACGCTCATCATCATAGCCAATTAACCACCCAGCTCAGACCCAGGCAGCATGGAGGGAGCTAGGCAGCGCAGGGCGCGGGAGGAGCCAGGCAGCTGGGGGCAGGCGGACGGGATGGGCGGGCGGCTCGGCGGGCTGGGAGGGGGGGCCGGGCACGGGCAGAGCGGCAGCCAGCATGGTCGGGCGGCCGCGGGCGAGAGGGGCTCTGGCGGCCGGGCGCGGACGGAAAGTAGCCTGGAGGAGCGAGCGTCACAGTGCGCCGGCCGGAGGCGTCTTCCCGGGAGCAAACCAAATCAGCCGGACGAGTTATGAGGCAGCAGTTTTTTTTGTTGTTTTTTTTTTTTCCTCTCTCCTTCTTCTTGAAGGGGTTTTAAAAAAAATCCAATTCTATTTGCTCCCTGCGTGAGCCGCACGGAGAGACGCAGCGACCCCTCCCTCTCCGTCCACGGCAACGTGGTGCCCCCACAGTCAACCGCGTCACCCGTGCGGAGAAGCCGCAGGCTGCCGGAGGGGGCGGCCGGCGCTGCTCCGCGCTCGGCGGGCGGGGGCTGCTCCTGTGACAGCCGGCCACTGACCACAGGGCCTCCTCTGGGGACGATGAGTTTTGGGGCCCGGAGAAGGGGGCTCCCCGCTGACAGACAAAATGAAGCCCCACGCCCGCCCGCCTCCCGGCACAGCATCCTTCTTAAAGGAAAGAACCCAAAGGTACAACTTTCACGCGGCTGCCAAAGGCTCCGGGCGCAGGAAGGCGCTTTGCCGCGGTGCCCACCCCAAGGCACAGGCTGCGGGGCAGGCATGGGCTTCCGGGCAGGTTGGCTGCAGGACCCGGGCTACACCGGGGCCTCCCCTGCCTGGGGGGCTGCCTCCCTCTAGGACTCTGCTGCCGCCCCGTCAGCGTCGGCGGGAGCAGGAGGGCTGTGGAGGGGACGGGCAGGGGGGAGGCTTTCTCCAGGGTCCTAAGAGGCAGGCGGGGGAGGACGGGGTGTCAGGAGAGAGGACCCGCTGGAGGGGGGGCCCTGGCAGAAAGGCTGAGGTGGGCCAGCAAGAGCGCAGGAGGCCCCCATCTCGGAGGGGTAACTGGGGAGCAGAGAGCAGCATGCTCTTGGGTCCCAGACAACTGAAGGTCAGCACTGCCCAGCACGCGGTCTGCCCGGGAGCACATGGCCCCAGGGAGCAGCCCCCTGGGGGCAGCGCAGCCAGACAGGTGGTCCCTGGAGGGGGGGCAGGGGTCCTGGGGCCAGCTGACTGGCAGCAGGGGAGAGCGGGCGCCTTCAGGGAGGTTGGGGGACAGGGCTGAGAACACACACGTGTCCTGACCACTCCGGAGCCCCCGCCCCTGCATCAGGCGACTGTGCAAGGGGACAGAACTCGCCAGGCTGACCCTGTCTTCCAGGGAAGGGCCAGCACAGCGAGGACACACACTGTGACCCCGGCTAGGTCATGCGATCCAGGCCCAGGGTGGTCTGAACACTGGAGGGGGGCTCCGTCCCTGGGCTCCGCCTCCAGCCTCGGGCAGCGGGCTCAGGGCAGGGAGCCCCAGCTTTGGGGGCTGGGCATGACCATGAGCCCGGGGCTCAGCCCCCACAGCCCACGAGACCAGGTCTGAAGCACGGCCGGGGGCCCGGGGCCCAGGGGCAGGGTCGCGTGGCCGCCCCGACTTCTAGGAAGTGAAGTGACAGGCTCTTTAAACCTCAGTTTCCCCTTAGATTACAAGGTGTTGGAGCAAACCACAGGCCGCTTGGGATCATGGTGGGGTCAGATGGGTGGATGTGCAGCGGTGAGGGAGGGCCCCAGGGAGCCATTCCCATAGCAACCATCAGAGACCACAGCCCCTGGGGGTCAGCCAGACCACAGCAGTGGGGGGAGGGGTCAGCCAGACCACAGCAGTGGGGGGAGGGGGTCAGCCAGACCACAGCAGTGGGGGGAGGGGTCAGCCAGACCACAGCAGTGGGGGGAGGGGTCAGCCAGACCACAGCAGTCAGGGGGGAGGGGTCAGCCAGACCACAGCAGTGGGGGGAGGGGTCAGCCAGACCACAGCAGTGGGGGGAGGGGTCAGCCAGACCACAGCAGTGGGGGGAGGGGTCAGCCAGAACCAAGCAGTCAGGGGGGCCCCTCCACAGCCTCCCCTACAGAACGCAGGCAGAACTGCCCTCACCACCCTCTCTGACCTTCTCACAAGAAGGCCCACCCCGGCCCCGCGGCTCGCTCTGCAATGGGCAGGTACAACCCCCAGCCCACTCCTGCCCCGTCTCCTGTGGGGAAGGCTCTCTAAGTGCCGGGCCGCTGAAGCCACGGCCTTTGGCTCCTGAACCCCAGGTGTGAGTGGCCACCAGCAGCCCTGAGCCCCGGAATAGGGTGCCTGCTCAGAGGGTCCCAGCCCTGTTCCCCCGGGACACATGCCCCCACACCGCCTCTGCCCAGCACTGAGGTGATCCTGTCTGAGCAGCAGGGGCGTGGCTGTTCTATGGGCCAACCCTGGACCCGTTTCAGGCTTGGGGTGCCCTGCAGGGGACCCACAGTTTCCTGCCAGCTGTCCACTGTCATAGGGGCGTGTTGGGATCAGTGTGGCTGGCCGGGTGATTGTTGTCCCTCCCTACTGACCGCAGGGGGCAGGGTTCTGCCCTGGTGGGTGCGGGATGGCGTCCACTCAGATCCCAGCTCTGCTCTGACCCCAAGGTCACGCTGACCTCTGGAGCCTGGGTCTGGCTCTGGGAAATGGGTCTAAGCAGACATGCCGTGGTCTCGGGAAGAGCTCATGAACGGACCTCAGAACCAGGCTCCCAGCAACCAGCCTGCAGGGCTGGGGTTTGGAGGTGCAGCCCCTCCCGGCCAACATGGAGCTTGCTCCTGGGGCCCGCTCAGCGAGTCCTCAGCCGCCGAAGGACGTGCTCACTGACTCCCGAGTGCCCCTGAGCCGCGGGCCCCATCCTGCCTGCGCAGGGAACTCCCAGGCCTCGGTTTACCTGGGAGGACCTGCAGCTGCCTGCCTGCCGATCCCCGCGTCTGACAGCCCCCGCTCCCCCCGCTTCCGTTCAGACGGACCTGGTGTGAATCCCGCTCAGCCACCTCTGGCGTCATTTCTCTGAGCCTCAGTTTCCCCGCCTGCACAGAGCATATTCTTACACCTGCCTGGTAGGGACTTTGAGGACCAAGTGAGCCCGGAGTCGCCCAAAACCCACGGAGGGCAGGCATCCAACACAGGGGTGCGCCCTTGCTGCCATCCCCGCGTCCCCCTGGTGCCGAATGCCCAGGAGATGTGGGGTCCTGAGCGGCAGTGCCCGCATCTCGCAGATCACCTGATGCCCATGCACCCACGGAGTGCCACGCACCCACAAGTGCCACGCACCCACAGAGCGCCACACAGACCACGAGTGCCACGCACCCACGGAGCCCCACACAGCCCGCGGGTGCCGCGCATCCATGGAGTGCCACGGAGTGCCACGCAGCCCACAGAGCCCCAATGCAGCCCGCGAGTGCCACACATCCACGGAGTGCCACGCACCCACAAGTGCCACGCACCCACGGAGCACCACACAGCCCGCGCGTGCCGCGCATCCACGGAGTGCCACGCAGCCCACAGAGCCCCAATGCAGCCCGCGAGTGCCACACATCCACGGAGTGCCACGCACCCACAAGTGCCACGCACCCACGGAGCACCACACAGCCCGAGCGTGCCGCGCATCCATGGAGTGCCACGCAGCCCACGAGTGCCACACACCCACGGAGCGCCATGCAGCCCGCGATGTCTGTGGGACACAGCGACACGGCCCGAACCCAAGCAGGGGCCCCACAAGGAGGACCCGGAGGGAGAGGAGGCGGGTCCTGAGACAAGTGGCCTCCAGGAAGCCGGGACGAAGCGGAAAGGCAGTCCGTGGCCTGGACACGTAATCTCCGTAGCAACCCACGAAGAACGACGAGAACCTCGAAGAGCCGGCCCCCTAGAAGAGGAGCTCGCATGGCCTCTTGTCGGCACGGACCCCCTGCAGGCGCCCCCGCCCTGGCAGACTGGGGATCGCACACCTTGGCCGCAGGGAAGAACCTCCCTGCAGATGAGAAGCTCTCGGGCTCTTTCTCCGGCTGCCGAGTCACCAAGCCGTCTGGGTCGCAGCTGAGGCACTGAGCAGGCTCCTGCTGCTGCCACCGGAGCTGTGGGGGAGCCCCGAGAACCAGGGGCCCCTAACGTCAGCCCGGCCACCGCGGCTTCACAGCAGCGGATCAGTTCTCCAGATGCGGCCCGAACGCGGGGGAATCCGACTTCCCCGGGCTCGACTTCGGCATCAGCGGGGTCCCCGCGCTGCTGACCTTGGGGAGCAGTCCGAAGTCAAGACCACCTGGTCCTGGGGGGGGCAGTGAGCAAACAGCCCACCCCTCGTGGTCAGGCTGTGGCACCCGCACCGCCGCCTTGCCGCCTTGGGCCATGGCCACGGCCCTTCCTGCTGAGTCTCCTCCGACTCGCTTCACTCCCCGAGATGGTCTGAACTCGGCAGATCATGGCCCCACTTCCTCCAACGCCAGGCCTCGGTGCCACTCACTGGCTTGTGTGCCCTTCTCCCTCTGCCTGCCGCCCCCCCGCCCCCGCCCCCAGCTAACTCGAGGGCCCTCCACCCCAAACCTTCCCTACGAGGGGCAACATCACACATTCTCCCTCCGGGGTCGCTCTGAGCATTGCCCTGGCCTCCGAGAGGGACCATGACCTGTGAGCAGGGTTCCCCGGGGGCACACGACATGCCCCCGTCCTCAGGGAACCCCCGGGGACACCGCGTCTCTCTTGGTGGGATGTAACCCAGCCACGCTCTCTCCAAATGCGTGTTCCGAACGGGGCACCTTCACGTACCCACGATGTTCCCTCCTCTGTAGCTTCCCAGCAGGAGCTGTAGAAGGCACGGGGGTGGGTGTCCGGCCCCGCCAAGCACAGCCGTGCGGGTCACACG